GAAATTGCTATAAGGGAAGGTTCTTGATCAGAAGCACTGGGAGACCTGTCTCGTCTCTAACCTTCACAGCTGATGCCAAAGTAAACAATATAGATCTTATTAGTAAATTATTGCCTGGAGAGTGAAAAAGAATTGGAACTGAGAATCCGAGAAAAGATGCTCGCCAGGATGACCAAGAGTCCAGACAGAATAGAATTGGAATTGGGCATGAGGATAGGAGAATGCTGGGGCATTTTCTGAGACTCTGGAGAACTGCCTGAGACAGGCCAGTAAGGAAATTCATGTTACGGAAAAAGGTTCTGAGATGGAGTGAAGAATTTTCTGTAATCCAGGAAAGCTGGCAGTAATTCCATTCCATACTACCACCACAATTCTTTCTGTATATAATTAAAATTATTTTGCATTTCCCTCATTATAAAAACAGTAATATCAATATAGTGAGTTTATATACCACCTTATGCAAGCTAGGTACTGTGTAAGATTCTTTAGGGGCACTATTCATATTCTGTCCACCGCAGAAATAGGTTCCATTGCTACATTCAGTTCAAAGAATGAAAGCAATAAAGTTTAGATTTGAGTGACTTAGCCAAGGTTATGTATTCCCCCACTAAGTGGCAGAGATGAGGTGATCACTGAGGCTTAACTCCAAAGCCTAAACCTCAATGTCTGTTTCCATAACATTGTTAGGGTATTAAAGAAAATACATGAAAAAAAATCATAATTCAACAACTCAAAGTACATTTCAACAGATATCTTGTAGTCTTTTCTATATGCACAATTTTCACATATTTATGACGTTCTTTTTCAATATGTAAAACGTTGTATCCCTGCTTTCATCTACAACATTCCCTCAAATTAAAAATGAAGCCATACAAACCATTGAACTGAGACAACACGGTGTACATGTGCTACCCAGTCCATTCCCTGTCCCTGAACACACACGTTGTTGCCAAGTAAACAGTGGCACTGGTACTTTCACAAATGATTTGTACCCTTCATAAATTCCCTCCATCTATGTTACTTAGAATAGCATGGTGAAGTTAATGTATACACATGAAATTTTAAAATGTATGAGATTGGAAGGCCTTCATTCTTGAGACATATTACAGTCACTGTTTTCTCAATATGCTAGCTGCTACATCCCTATTAGCTGCATGTTAAGGACTTGATTCAAAATACATGTGCCAAAATGAGAGTCTCTGCATTTCATTAGTTTTTCAGAAGACCGCTCTCTCCATTTCTTTATCTGTTCTTGCAAAATAGAGATAAGGGCACCAATCTAAACAATACCTTCTTTTATTTATTTTGTTTTAAATTGCTGTCATGAGGGCAATTTTTACAATTACCTAGCACAGAAACCTCAAACTTATTTTTGCGAATAACTGGAAGAGTGAGAGAAAAAGAGTTCCAGGTACTTTTCTTTTGGAAAAAAAGCTCAATATTTGGAACACTTCTTTCCAATTGGTTTCCATAACTTCAATCCGATGAAAATCATTGGGACTTCTAGCATTTATTTTCCCCTTCTATCTCTTTCATCCGGCACTGTTTTAAGATAACTTTAATAAACCATAAACATATCATGCAAATATACTAACGTTTTAATGTTTCTTTGTTATTTATTTGAATGCCAACCTACGACAGTGAGTAACCTGGCTTTCTAGATTCTCCAATGGATTGACAATATCTTTACTCTGTGTCTATGCTTTTCCAAATAAGTAGGCACTATGAATATGTGTTTGACCTACATTTCATAGAGATAGGACTTGCTATTTATATGTCAATCCAGAAAGTCCAACACAATGTCTTAGACTTTTAAGCATAATGCCAATCTTTGAAAGTGGTCATAAATAAATATTCGTTATTGATGGCATTGTGAGGGGGTGATAACTTATTCTGAATCCCTGCTCTCAAGCTAGATTGTAGGAACATTTTAACTGTAATCTGAATAAACATTTTTAGGCTGTGAAGCTCTACAACCTATGTAGGCATTGTGCAATTTTGTGCTGAAGATAGCTGCAATCCTTTAAATATTCTGGATTTTGTGGATAGGATTACATCCACTTTTTTACTAGTCCAATTTTGTCATATTAAGCTTTCTCAGTTGGTAGCTGTTTTGCTTTGAGAGGAAAATTTAATTCAGAGCTCTGCAAAAGTGGAGATCTGTTCTGTTGACTGTAGAGTACGTAGGTCAAGTGGAATTTTTGGCACTTCATTATGTTCCCTGATCCTCACTAAACAAACTTGGAAATATATATATATATTTGCAACAATTTGGAATAAACACTCCCTACAAGTGTTGATGGTAGATTTTCTGAAGAACTACCAAATGCATCAAGACTAAGGAAAACATTCTAATGATTCTTTCAAACATGAATATATTTAAATTCTAGTTAAACAATCTTCTTATTTAGTCTTCTTGGGCTTTGATGACATGCCACGATTGGCTGTTTATCAGAAACTTAGTAAAGAAAAATGCTTAACAAGATACAACCCTGTGCACATACTTGTGCATAATTAAATTCAGTTTATAAATTGACGCAGGGTAGAATATAGTCATACCTTCCAAGAAAGGTTGGTAGCTGGCAAGTAACAGCTTTTAGCCTCATGTACAATGATATATTTTCCAATGTGAATGCTATGAAGGTGATAAGATAATCTGATCTCAAATCTTAATTTAAAACATCTCTTTCTATTTCTTTTGAGCTAAGCAAAGATTCTAATGAAATGAGGAAATTCGTTTAGGTGTGAGAAACAGACTTTCGCCGTGAACATCAGGATTCTATTGCATCGTCCTGAAGCAGCCTCACTATTTGAAGGATTTAAACCTGGAAAATGCTCTAATGTTTGCTTTATTTTCTGAAAGTGGATTTATTTGACCCTCAATGTCTTCATTTTATAGCCATTCTTTAAGTGAAAAAAGGATTAATTGTGACTTAGTAACAGATATTTCCCAAGAATTCCAAGAGTACATGTTGCACAGCATTATACAGGATACTTTTCCATTTGTTTTATGGTTTTGTCCAGTTAAAGTTTCTAAGATAAGCACTGTAGTATTTACTTGTAATATGAAACCCTTTTCATGGTGTGTCTGGATCCTAAGGGAAAGAATTAACATTAAAGGAATGCTTACCTTTTGCCAGGCATTTTATGTGCATTATCTCATTTAATTCTCATAGCCACAAAATATTTAATACAATTCTACTTGCCTGAGATCATAACAGGAGGACAGAAGGAAGGCTTGACTATAGTTCTCTTAGTTTCTTTTAAGTCCACAACACTTTTACTAACCACACTGGCTCTTCCCCTGTATCCAGGATGGAGAGGTGACAAGAAAGACACTCTAACAATAAAGTACATTCTCAACTTTGAGGCAAAGCTCTCTTCTGAGGGTAAAAGGAGAGAGAACCTAATGTGTTGAATTAGATTAAATACGTTTCCTAATGCGATGGCTGGTTCATCTAGTTACAGATTATACCACGGGCTACTATGCCATCATCGGAAAGAATAAATAAAGCCTGTTTAATGAATGGGTAGGCTGGTCATGTTCACATTGCAAAATAATTGTGGAACAAAATGTGGAATATTATATACTTCAGCAGGAGAAGCAACCTTATGCCCATTCATATGTTTATATGTACTTAGAATTAGATCTGAAAGGATCTATTGGTACTTCTGCTCCTTGAGCTGAGAATGATAACTGGCAATCAAATATCAATTTCTTATGGTATGAGGCATCACTCTTGGTATTTTTTGTGGAATTATATGTTATATTTATAATTAAAATCACATTATGGATTAACTGAGCAATCTGTAGAGTAATGGCTCATTCCAAGCAATGAGTAATTAAGGGCATTTAATCTCACAAAAGCCAAACAGCCCAATTTTACCTGATACTCTATCATCAGGTTTCAATTTTACTCTATGGTGTAAGCCAAAACTTCATTACTCTTTCTTATCTGAAGAATGTGATAACAGACGGCCGATGAGTCATTTAAATCTTAACATGTTCAAAGTGGAGCTCTTCTACTCAACTTTTTCCTCCTGTAGTACTGCTCATCTTTGTATGTGGTGCTACCATTTCTATAGCTACTCAACACCCCAGGAGACACTCTTGGTACCTCCAATATGCGGAATTTCAGTTATTGACTCATAGGCCTAGAGCCAGCAAGGCCTGCTTTGTCTTTCTCAAGCAATCGCCCTTCTGTCTGTGAGGGATGGTCCCTGGACCAGTGTGGATATCAAAATCTGTCAATAATCAAGCTTTTTATTATAAGGTACTATAATCTTTACATATAATTTAATACACCCTTCTATATAGTTGACAATATCTCTAAATTACTATATTCTATAACACAATGATGCTATGGAAAGAGTTTCATACTGTATTGTTTAGAGATTATTGACAGGAAAAAAAAAACTGCATGCTCATCCCAGACTTAATGTTCTTTATCCATGTTGTTTAAATTTGAAGATAAGGAACATATGGATATGCAGTGGAGTGTACATTAACTTCTTTGGCATCTCTGGTTCTTCACATTCCACTGTTTTTCTAGGATGCTCTTCTCTTAGGTGTTTATAGGGACAACACCTTATCAATACAAACTGATATTTTACTAATGAAGAAATTGAATTTTAGAGATTTTTAGTAACACATTTTTAGTCACCGTATTTGATACTCATATTGGAATCATTTCATGCTCTTTCTGTTACAATGGATAACAAAGTCAAGATGGCCAGTCCACTGATCCTGGCGGTAGTTCTGACAGTCAATCAGTAGGCATTTATTTGTTGAAAAGACCAGGGAAAACAAATCATTTTGAAAATTCTTTTGTAGGTTCTTCATCCTATCACCAGTACATTCTCCAGCTCCTGCTGGAAAATCTTGGTCAGCTAGAGGGGAACTTATGAGATGAACACATTTGGAAACTCTCAGATTTGAAATTAAAAGTTTCTCAGGAAATGGCTGTAGTGCAGCACTCCCAGAAACTCCTACAACTTACTTAGTTAGATGTTTGAAGAGAACTTTCATGGTGTCACGGTTTGGTGCAGGGAGTTTTTGAACAAGAGATTTTATAGCTTCAATTCTCGTGTTGTGGTCTTGCTTTTCTGAAAAAAAGAATTAAAAACACAAAGGAAGATTAGAAAGGATGAAATTTCATAGCTACAGGAGAGAAATTTCATAGGCTCATGGATTAAGAATTTGTAATTGGAATCCTGATCAGTCATTACAGGGACTAGGTTCTAGAGGAGTTTACAAATTAAACCATGATAACACAAATGCAGGAACAATGTGACTTTGACACAACCTTCCTATTAAAATCTGATATTGAATTGTTTTTCTCAAATTTTCTATTTGCAAAGTGTTGCAGTGTAAGTAATGGCATTACAAATGTCTCATTGCTAGAGACTATGGGATTGTATGTGGCAAATGGGGCTGGGTCGATGTTATTAAATCATGGATTCTGGGATGAAGAGATTTTTATGAATAATCTGAGTGGACCCAATGCAATGAGACATGGAAATATCACACAGAAACAGGATGTTGAGAAGGCGATGTAACCATGGAAGCAAGTGGACATAGATTATGAGATGAGTGGCCATAAGCTGTAGAGTGATGACATCTTTCAAACCTAAACATGTAAGGAACAGAGCCTCCAGGTACCACAGAAATCTACGAATAATTTGATTTTCACCCAGTGAAACTTAACTTAGCTAGATCACCCCCCATGATTATAGAAGATTAAGTTTGCACTGCTTCAAGCCACCTAGAATACTATCAAGTTCATCTTAGAATTTTAAGCAGGATCCTCACCAATGCAGAGACATAATTACTGAATGAACTAGGTAGAGAAACTTCACAATTTTTTCCTTTTCTATATGTTATTTCTAATTTCCATCTCAGAGAACTTGACGACTGTAGAGAAACTATGACTAAAAAAGATGATTTGTAGGAGAGCGATATATAAATATGGACACCTATGTGATGGCCATGGTCTTAGTAAGATAATCCTTGAGGATAAAATGGCAAAATAGCAAGCCAAAAGGGACCTGTCAACAGCCCCCTCTTGGCACCTGGAGTTCCAGGGCTGGTGACCAAGTCTGGTCAATGAAACATATGCCCAAGTATTATGTGGGACTTCTGAACCTGACCATATTCAGAGTCGACTTTGTCTTTCATCCATTGTATCTTTTCTTCCTTAGACAATAGACAGAATGACTGTATTGTGAGATGACCTTGAGAATTGAGTATTTGCAGAATGGACACACAGGTGGGAGTTTCTCACTCCTGTGAAGCAGTGAGACTAGTCCTGCACCCCCAATATGTGGGTTTCTTTGGTAAGGGTAAGTAAGATCTTGTGCAGTGAAGCCTTTGAAGATGGGTCTCTGGTAAGGTCAGAATGCCTAGTCAAATGCACTTCTAAAAGGCTGAGTCATCTCCTGTTAGTACATTTATAAAGTCAATGTGATGGAGGAAGAATTAGCTTAGAAACTAGAAGAGTCTTTACTATATTTTTGCAAAGACTTTTTTCAAGGAATTCTAGGAAAACATCCTTCTGAAGATGATATTTGGCTAAAGTGGGGTGGGGGCAGTCTTCCTAGTAGAACTCTGCTTGGATGTGTTTCTCTTTTTCCTCCTAAAACCACAAAGACCTATAAATATGCTGCCCACAATTCAAGCATTCAAAATTGCAGTTATTCTTAGAAGGGTTCCAACAAAGGATGGCTTAGACAACTGAAAATAAAAGAAACAAAGGGGAAAGGGAAAGAGAAAAAAAGTTGCAACATCATATTTCACACTAAATTTTTTTCAACTGAAGTGTAGGAAGTCCCATTTGTAGCTTAATGATAGCAAGAAAATGTGATGTTTCCTATGACCAGTTCAGGCCTGGGGCCTAACACAGAAAATGAAGCAAAGTATGTTAGTAAAGGTGATAGTGCATTTGTCTCAATATGCCCAGAGCTATTAAGGAAGCTTAGGCACCCTGTATCTACCACCTGAGGCCATTAACACAGGAATCTTTATATATAGTATACATATATTATCTATAATATATATTATATATGAAATATATACACTTGTATACAAGAGGTAAAAAAAAAGTTCTGTGTATTCAGGCATGATAATAGCAGAGTAATTTACCTAAGGACAGGATGAGCCATTTGGTTTCAACAATTAAGATGAATTTTGGAATAAGGAAGAGAGGACAAGTGAGGGGAAGAGAGGACAAGTGGAGAGAGGAGGGCTTTTCGTTTGTCTGAAATTTCTGACTATAGTAATAATCAGGTCAATGTCAGAATCTCAAAAAAAGCGATTAGTTGAAATTGAGGGCTACAGAAACATCAGTTATAAATTAATACTAACAGACAGCTTAGTAAATAGTTATCTTAGTAGCTATATCCCCAAAAAACTTCAATTTTAGAGAGCATATGATATAGTCAGAATGGATTTTAAAAAGGTTGGGCAGTGCTTTCCTGGAAATACTTGAGTTTGCCCTGCTATAACACTTAGGCAAAAAGGAAAACATTACGATGCCTGTTAAGTAACCAGGTGACAGAATTATGAGCTTCTCCAGATTAAGTTAATGCTCTCTTTCATTCGAGTTCCAGAGCACTTAGTTTCCTCCGATACAAAGCCTCACATGCTCTTTCTATTGCTTGACTATGGGTCAATTTTCTCATTATATGTAGAAAATTATCTATCAATACAGGCATTAATACTGGCAAGTGGATTAAGTTAGTGAAGAAAGAATCAGTGAACTAAAGCAAGACATTAACATGGATTGCTATAGATAAACCTTGGTTTGAATTCTGTAACAGAACTTTGTTAGTCATGTGGTTTTGGACAAGTTTCTATGAAAAACTGATAAAAAGTAGTTTTACGGAATGAGTACAATGATAATATGTAATGCATGTATCACAATGACTAATATATGCTCACTGCCCCCCTTGTTTGAGATTCTGTTGGGTCTGGTTCACCTTTCATTTCTAGCATTTATTTCTATCTGGCTGTTGTGAACATTTTAAGACGTGGTTTCAAATTCTTGAAATGAGTGGATGCCAGTGAGTGAAAATCAATTGCTATGGTAGCCAGCCATTAAACAATGCCATAAATGCTTTCTGATAGGCTGTGAAGTTGATGATCTGATTGGTGAGCAGTTCGTTTCTGTATAAAGCCCCTTATAAAAGTGTATGGTGGTTTTCAAGTGTGCCAAGAAGAAACATTCTGCATGAATAATATTTTATAGAAATATTTCTCGTTTTCTATGTTCACACATACTTGAGGTATCACACAGTTGGAAAGAGGTACATACATGTTTGTGGATAAGTTGCCTTTAACTTTCAGAGGGACAACTGCAAGTTGATATGTTTAACAGAAAAAATTTTATCTATATTTTTACAACATAATCAGAACAAATATTTTTGCAAACATTATAGGAAAGTAGTGCTTTCTCATTCAAATCAAGACCACACCCACTCTTCCATAGCTGGTAAAATCAGGAAATAACACAAACACTTACTTGTAAGTGGGGAACATCTAAAAATACAACTGGAAACATTAAAACCGAAATGACACCTTTTCAGATCTGGTTTATTGATGTGTCATATTAGGAATTGGAAGCAGCATACAAAATACAGGAGTGGTTAATGAGCTAAGATTCATACATGGCTTACTAAAGATGTGTCAACTGTCTTCAATTGATTCAGTGAGCATCTGAAAGACAGCATTTTCTATTAATATTTCTCTTTCAGCATATGGTTTCTCATTATCGTGAAACATTGGAAGTTTTGCAAAGATTCTGAGATAACATTTTTTTTTAACATGGTAACTGGGGTGCAGGAAAGAAAATTTTCTACGTAGAGAACTAAAAGGGCCTCTTAGTTTAGGCATATACGAAGAGACAAAAATCTTTACAGAAATAATGAATGCCACAATTCTTTCCCCTTTCATTTGCATTTGCTCCCGCCCTCATTCTGCTATGATTTATTTTTGCTCCTAGTTCATGGCTTAATACTTCCATTTTCACTCCTGCCTGCACATATTCTCTCCCACCACTGCACCCTGAACCCACAACTCCATGGAAAACTATTTGATACAAGTTCATTTTGTTATTCAGTGCTGATTCTCAACTGTTATAAATGCTTGTAACAAATGTTATTCACCTGCCCCTACCTTTCCTTTTAAGCTTATTATCTTTGTTGCACATGTCTATGGGGGTTCAGCACAATAAAGTGACATATGTATCTACCATGTAATGTCAATTCAGCTTATGTCCCTCTCTTTTTAATACCACCAAACTCCCTGTTGTAAATGACTTTCTTCAAAAACAGCACCACGCTGCTTCGAGAAGTTCTGGCTCCTACATGGAAGGAAATAGCCACTGATGTTACACTGTGAATATGGTCTTTTGGTTTTTCCTCTCAATTTTCTAGTTTTCAGGGTCTGTTTTCTAAAATATGGCGTGTGGTAGTTACATTTGCATTTATCTGCATGAAATGTTGCTGCTAAAACAAGGACGTTTACAACCAAATGCCTTTTAGAAAAGAGATAAGATAAGGTTATATGACCATGGAAAGAGATCAGCACAGTGAACAACTGTGGGCCTGATGACCTCAAGGCACTTTCCCTGCCTTATAATCCATGTCTTTGTTTTTCTTTACTTATTTATAGCCACACATTAAATCATATTTTAAAATAAATTCTGCTTTGTAATATAGGTTCATCCGGCAAAATAAAAGACTGGATTATCCCAGCAACCAATGTATAGGGGGAGCACAGTTCATCTTCTTTATCTATAATTCTTAAAGGACAACTGTATGCCTTTGTCTTAAAGAAGTCAGCAGCACCACAGCTGTTGTACTTCTGAAAGTTACTCTGGAATGTTTAAAGTATCCTGTATGAAAAACACGGTAGCCACAGTAAGTCAGGGGTATATTTGGAAAGAAAAACAGTTCTCCAGTTTGTATTTAATTTCTACTTTCTGTATTGTGGCTATTACAGAATGTTGTTAGAGACTATGGTTTCTTCCACGAAGGGTGAGAAACCTTAGAGAAAATTTTATTTATTTCATAATTACCCCACAACTAGTTACCAATCCTTGAGGGAT